GACGTGATCTTGCTCGCGAGGGTAATGCAATTATCCGTGAAGCTTGCAAATGGAGTCCTGAATTAGCTGCTGCTTGTGAAGTCTGGAAGGAAATCAAATTTGAATTCCCAGCAATGGATACTTTGTAATCCAGTAATAATCATTCGTTCTATTAATTTCCATTAAACTCGGCCCAATCTTTTACTAAAAGGATTGAGCCGAATACAATACACAATACAAAAATACTTGTTGTATCTAGAATGAATCCTATAGATCTTTCGGATTGATCTATTTTTTTTCTAGTTCATTCTTCTTTTTTGATTTGGAATAGAATGAATTAAAATAGAAATATTTTCTATTTAAAAATGAGAATAGAAATATTTTTTTATTTGTTTTCTCGATTGTATTCTTTTTTTCAACACTAATATTGACAACAGTGTATCAAACAAATATAATCTGATCGTGAATCAATGGATGGATTGACTCATGTCACATAGGTTTTTTACTTCATCAAATGGTGGATTCATTGTATTTTGATTTTGTTTGATACAAACAAGAAGTTTTTTTTCTTGAAATAGAAATATGAAAAAAATAAAATAATACTAATTTAAAACTATATTAATAGACAAATAACTACAGTACTGTACTAAACAAGTCGTCTATCATTTTTGATTCTCATTTTTTCTTTTTTTCATTGTATTGTAATATAATGTAATATGTAACATTTGATTCTATTATTTATAGAATTCCATCTTTTTTTTATTGCGATTGGATATACAGATCCTTGTTTGTAATTTTATTAGGGTTGCTAACTCAATGGTAGAGTACTCGGCTTTTAAGTGCGACTCCATTTTTTACACATTTCTATGAACTAATTGGTTCATCCATACCATCGGTAGGGTTTGTAAGACCACGACTGATCCAGAAAGGAATGAATGGAAAAAGCAGCATGTCGTATCAACGGTGAATTCAAAAAAATTTTCATTCATATTGGATCCGACCAATCTTTTTCTTTGAATTGTTGGCTGGGAACAAATGAATTCCGTTGGGTTGAATTAATAAAGGGATAGAGCTTAGCTGCTCGAATTCTAGGGAAAGAAAAAGCAACGAGCTTTCATTTTTTATTGGAATGATTACCACATCTAGTTATACGTTAAAAAAGGATTAGTGCTTGCTGTGGAAAAAGTTTTTCCCACGAATGGATTAAGGATTTTTGTTATGAGTCCTAATTATTAGCTATTCCCCATTATGTTATGGGGTAGCAAGAAATGTGTAGAAGAAAGAGTATATTGATAAAGATATTTTTTTCCAAAATCAAAAGAGCGATTGGTCCCCAAAAAATAAAGGATTTCTAACTAGCTTGTTGTCCTAGAAAAATTAGAAGGAACAAGCGAGGGGAGATAGTCCATTAATGTGTTTTAACTCGTTTTCTAGGTATCTATTCATATTTGTTTTTTATTTCAATTCGAATATAGATATAGAATACCTTGTTTTGACTGTATCGCACTATGTATCATTTGATAATCCAATGAATCTCTGATCCTTTGACCAAATATCATTTCTAAAATGAAGGAATATAAAGTCTATTTAGAACGAGCTAGATCTCGCCAACAGCACTTCCTATACCCACTTATTTTTAGGGAGTATATTTATGGACTTGCTTATAGTCATAATTTGAATAGATCCATTTTTGTGGAAAATATAGGTTATGACAAGAAATATAGTTTACTAATTGTAAAACGGTTAATTACTCGAATGTATCAACAGAATCATTTAATCATTTGGGCTAATGATTCTAACAAAAATCCATTTTGGGGGTATAAGAATAATTATTATTCTCAAATAATATCAGAGGGTTTTGCCATCGTCGTGGAAATTCCATTTTTCCTACAATTAAGCTCTTCCTTAGAGGAGGAAGAAATCATCAAATCTTATAAAAATTTGAG